CCTTGTACTTTCTATGTAGCCCAAGCTGGCCTGAAATTCATGGTGATCCTACTGTTTCCGCTTCCTGGGTTGTGCCTATAAGCATGCATCACTGTGTCCAGCCTCCTCTAATTACTTACTGTAGTTGTACATTTTTGTTATATGTTGATTCAAAGATGAACAGCAAAGGATGCAGATAAAGGAAATAATAACCAGGAGACTGATGAACATATATAGAGAAAGAAGAAGAAATATCATATGCAACAGATGGTAATGAAGGCATACGTTTAAAAACAACAGAGGGTTTCTTGTCTTCAGTTGGTGATCGGTTAACAAATACCTATGTTGTTAACTGAGAGTCTTTAAGCCAACAGGAATCATAAATACCCTCTTCATGAAGAAGGAACTGGAAGCCCAGCATGGTGGCACATGCCTATAATCTCAGCACTTGGGAGGCTGAGGCAGGAGGACCATTTCGATTTCGAGAGCAGCCTGGGCTACAAAGTGAGCTCAAGCGCAGACTGAGCTGCATAGCAAGACCCTGTCTCAAAAAGACAAAAAAAAAAAAAAAAAAAAAAAAAGAATAAGAAAAAGAAAACAAAAAGGAACTGGAGACTCAGAAAAAGTGTTTGTGCAGGGTTACAGTTACTCTTCTTTCTATAATAGTTCAGTAAAATTGACTCACATATGTGATCATATCAAGTCAGTGATGAAAGCCTAGCTTCCAAATAGCTTATTATTGTTTTACTTTCTTTTAAGACTTGGCACAAAACCCAAGACTATTGCAACAGACATATCTCCAGTCTTACTTTTGTATTTTGAGACAAAGTCTCAGTTGTTAAGTTGCCTGGGCTGGACTCAAACTTGCAATTTTCCCACCTCAATCTTCTAGAAAGCTGGGATTATAGGTGTGCACTACCAAGCCCAGCTTATTTTAGTTTTTTGAAGACTAAATTTTTTAAAGAGAAGATGCACACGTAAAAGCCTTCACATAGAAGGCTTTTAATATTCATTCTCAAACATTTGTTTAGTTCAAACCGTGTAAAAGACACTACATTAGGTGGGTCCTCTAAAATATAAAATTCGAGGAAATGACAGATAATTTCTGGTTTAAAAAACCAAATTATGAAAATTTAATATTTACTCAACACTTGTAAGATAAAAGGAACTCACCAGAGCACCTCTTCTGCAAGCACCTGAATTCTTTGGTTTGCTCAGCAGAAATGAGGGTGATACTAATGAGAGCTGGGTCAGGAGCTCAGATCTTGACAGTTTTGTGCTAGGAATGTTAAATGCGACCAGTCTTTCGGGATCTCACAAGTTACTTCTGGTCTAAAGGAGAGTATGGCTGGTAGGACTGATGGTGACCCAGTGACCACTGGATGAGTGAACGGTCACAAAGCAGGGCAAGGAGCCATCCATGGCAAAAAAAAAATTATCTGGCCACAGAAGGCACCAGGCAGCCAGGGACTGAGACATGGGTCTTGGGATACAGGGTTGGGAATGATGTAGAATTCAGTTGGTGGAAATTACTACTTCTTCCTTACTTCGGCTGTTTCTTCACATGTCTAGAGAGCTCAAGTAGTGAGACATTGCTGGCCCCTCTCTACTCTCACTCCCTGTGTTCCCAAAGAGGTGTCTCAGTTGCTTAGTGAGTTTAGAAAAACATAAACTGAGTTTGACAGTCACTCTCTCTTTATTTTTATTTTCTGGGAGCTGGCTGCCTAGAGGGCACATGCCCACACGGCTATGTCTAAATGGATTTTCTTGCTCGATTTTGGAGTTCAGTCACAGGAAGACCATTTGCCTGTGTTGCTTAACCCAGACTTTATCAGTAGTAGAAGGGATATTTTGACCCTGCATAGGCTTTGGGCCTTATTTCTTGGTTTAAGAACTTGGGTGGGTAATTTATTAGGTCACTTTTTGGAGACACCTGTAAGGTCTACTGGGAAAACATTCTGGTGGGCCAAAATCCTGGTGTGAGTACGTTGGTTTACCTTTGCTCCTCCTGGTGATCTCACAGTATTTTACAGCATAACTAATTATTTGTATTGCTATTGTGTACAAGGCAAAGGCTTCTCTTTGTGGGCTTAATGTCTAGAAAGGATCCCAGTAAGTAAAGTAAATATGGGACGCAGATTCCTAACACAGCATCTCAGAACCCAAGTTGGGAGGCTGAAGTGAAAACAAAGACAGAAAGAGTACAGGAGAGCACATTCTTCCACTGGGGCATTCAGGAGTACTAAGTCTAGAACCAGCTCAGCACAGCTCACATTCTGCACCAGATTCAAAAAACCAAATAGGCCAGTTAACTAAAGTAAAATTGTTCCAATGTTTCCCAGGCAGAATATGACTGTTCTTAAAACTGAAATGTCCTTGAAAAATTTCTGGTAACTCAGAAATTAATGTTCAAAACCCAACATCAAGGGAGTTTTTATGTCTATAAAGCACTTCTATCATTACAGTTCTCTGTTAAAGAAACATGTATGTTTGAATAAGTAAAGGATGGTAAAGCTTGCAAACAGTGACTAGACCAACCATTCAGGTTTGTGGCTTAGTTTTAATAATTTGTATTGTTAGGCATATGACATCACCAAAGCTGTAATAGCATAAAAATGAGTTTGGTCTTTGGAGTCCATCCCTGAAGGGAGTATTCATGTCTTCCTTCATCTTCACTTTACTTCTTCCTTTTTTAGGTGGTAAGGAAAGAGATTTTGAAGAGGCTTTTCCCTCGTTTCCAAGGAAAAAGAGTTTGTGTGAGGTGGATCTTAAGATCCCTGCATAAAAGTCAGGATGTGTTAAATTGTGTCTAAGCTTCCGGCCAGCCTCCAAAGTCATATTGCCTGAAGTCCCCTAGAGTTTGCTTCCAGAGAACAACAGTGGTCTATTTATTGGTTTCAGTTGCTGTGAAGTGACCATTCTGCAGAAGTGAGGCTGCTGCCCTTAGCTACACATTTCTTTGTGGGAATAATCGTGAATCACACAGAACCAAGTCAGCAGCTAGGCAAGGTACAGACCTAGGTGAAATAATTTCGTAGTGTTAGCCGTTTTCATAAAATACATTGAAGAATCCTAAAATATAAGCAAATGATGAATATAATAAAGGAGAGATGGTGGGAAACAAGAAGGAAGAGTTGGAAATGGGAAGAGGATCAGTGGCGGGGGTGAGGGAGAGAAATGGAAAGGGATAAAAATGATCAAGATATATTATATGCACATACCAAAAAATTCTCCACAATGATCATCTCTATTCTTTACTGCAAATATTCACTAATAAAAGGGGGGAAAGATACACTGGCTCCGTCTGCTTAGAAGTAATGTACTTTTTTTTCCAACTGAAGGAAAGGCTTGGCTTTAACACCATTCTCTTCCCTCTCAAGTAGGTATTTGCTTATTTCTGTTCTGCTTTTCTGAGGTGTGTCAGCTAATTCTGAATATCCAGAATGATCTCTTTCCTTACCAGCCCCACCTGGCCGGGAGGATGACAAAATTCCTAGAGGCGATGTCAAGTGCACGAAATGCAAGCAGTGCTGTTAGGAAGTTGGCTGCTGCTGTTGTTGCTGTCCTCCTGGAGAAGACACTAGAGGGCTGGGATTTGTCTTCAAACTAAATGTTTTTTTTCCAACCTCTCCCCTTCCCTTAGTACCTGTCACCTCCAGTCTTGTGCCATTCCATTCCATTGGCCCCACAGATGAGAGACTCACATGCAGACGGTTGAGTACGTTGCTATTTTGAGTTTTATTTGCTATCTTCTGTCACTGTTAATTTCATGATCTCTTTTTTGTTTTGTGCTTCATCTTCTATTCTGAGACTAATCTTCAAGTTTTGATGTTTACTTTCAACATAGAGGCATGCTTAACGTATTCAGTTTTCTTTATGCACCAGCGAGACACCGGGGATGGGTGTGTCTTTATGTGTCTTCTACCCAGAATCCATTCTCAGTCTTTTGTCTCTTTTTTCCTAAGGCAGTTTCCAATGCTCCCCATGTCTGCTGAAGCTTGAAAAGGCCGTAAAATTAAAGCTACATAATTATGAATGCTATGAAAGAGGTTTTGACAACTTTTGGTGGCATTTAATTCAAGTTAAACTTCTCTCATTCAAAATAATAAGCATAATGCTACTTATTATGTAAATGAGGTGGCAAGGCAGATGTTTTTCATCCTGGTGCATTCACTAGGGATTAATACATACAAAAGCTGAGTAGGAGGGGCCACTGTTCAACTCTAAAACTTGAATAAGGGTGAAGCAAGAGGCGGGATGATTACTTTGGAGCTATGTTGTCCAATACTGGAGCCACTAACCACATGAAGCTATTTATACTTAAATCAATTAAAATGAAATAAAATTCAAAATTCAGTTTCTCAGTGATGTTAGCCATAATTCCTGTGTGAAAAGCTACATGTGGCTGGTGGCTCCGTATTGAAGAGCACAAAGAAGATTTTCATCATTGCAGATTGGATAGAGGTGCTAACCACAGAAGAGCTCAATAGAAAGAGGGATGTCTATAAAGTCTTCTAGCAACTGAAACTTATCCATAAGGGTCCCACAACATTCTCAGAATGGGTGTAGATCTATGAAGAGCCAAGAGATGTAGGAGTTAGGATCAGGTTGCTGGTTGAATGTCGCCTCTGTCTCTCAGAGGATACATCAGAGCTGCGCTTCCTAGAGTTTATATGCACATACATACCATCTGGCGATCTCTTCATCAGTGCAGAAACTGATGAAGCAAGTCCGGAGTGGGGCCTGAAGCCAGAGTTCATAGGCAGTTCTCAGTTGGTGCTGGTGTCACCCATCTACAAATCACTTTGCAAAGCAAGGTACTTAAGCCCTTCACAGCAACTGCCCGATGTACAAGAATATCCCCTGAAGTTAGCGAAATCACTTGATGAAGGAACCTTTAATGATTGCAGGTTGGTGCCAGGGTACATTTCACTGCCTGTAACACTGAGTCGTTTTACATCAGAGACCTGCTGCAGAAAGTAGAAATTGCTGCCGTATTACCAGGAAAGAAAAAAAAAATCTCATTAGAAAATATTGAGTACGTTAACTTGAATCTGTGATAGATGGTACTTTAATTTACCTTTGAAGGCACATCAGTTTTTCAGATTCAGGAAGGACTTGTTTTTAAAACTAGCATAGAAGAAACTGCCGCTCCATGGAAAAATGGCTTGTACATATAAAACCTCAGTCCCTAGAAATGTTTCTCAACCCTGTTTGCACAATTGGAATCACCTGCGGGCACTTGTAAGTATTACAGTGTTAAATTTCACCCTGAGATTTTTATTTAATTAAGGGAGGAATCAGTATGTTTTGAACACTCCCAGGACTCTAACATGCAGTCACAGAGAAGCTTTGATCATAACAGTGGCGCTCAAAGCTAAGCATGCATTGCAGTGCAGCCGTGGTATAACACAGATTGCCAGACTGCCTCTAGAATTTATGATTGGGCAGGTAGGACTGGGTGGGGCACTGGAACTTGCATTTCTAACAAGTTTCTAGGTGCTGCTACTGACCTCAGCTGGAGAATCATTGGCAGCACTGATTCACAGTCTTGGTGAACACCTGTAATCACCTGGAGAGTTTTAAAAACTACTGATGCTTAGATCCCAAACTCTAGAGGCTGTGTTGTAGTCTGAATAGTAAAGAGTTTTGAAAGTTTTCCATAATTTAAGAACCACAGATGAAAATAAAGCATCTTTTAGGTCTAAAGACCAGAAACACTAGAATCATATTGTTTTTGTCAGAAATGTAGGTTCTCAAGACTAACTTCAGACCTGCTGAGCCGTAATCTGCCTCATCACGTTCTCCAGGTGACTTCATGTACATTAAAATTGAGAACCACTGTACCAGATAGGTTTTTAAAAAGTAATTTATTGATTTATATACATTCACTTTAAAGAAATTCTGGTAATGATTTCTGATATTTACTAAAAATGTTTGGACACATGATTGACTCTAAATTCCCTGAAATTATTAAAGTGTTATTGGATTTTTATTGCACAGATTTAAACCTGTCAGTTTCTACTTGCATTGTAACCAAAGACATTGATAATGCTAGCAGGAAGGAACTGTGGACTTTCAAGTCTCAAGGTCAACAGCAACCAAGTTTTTCACATATTTACATGGATTACTTAAAGTACTTTTTAGGTTAATGCATCTTAATTTTGAGAAAATCGTACACTTTCCTACTTATACGCCATGTATATCATAGATATACTCTTAATTATACAACTTTTCATTATATATCAGAAAGATACAGAGGGTAGAGGTGTGGTTAAGGAATATAATGCCTTGGGGAAAAAAGAAGCTACATAGTGTTTGCCTAGTAAGTTTTTCTCAGTAGTATTTTATGGTAATAGTGCTAGAGATCATTACAACATAGGAAAACAAAACTTGAATGTGGTAGGAATCATCTGGAGATCTTGTTAAATGCAGGTTTTGATTCAGTAAACTCATGGTGGGGACCAGTACTGCATTTTTAGCACACTGCTAGGTGTTCAAATGTTTTGAGTCTCTGGACCACATTTTGAGTAACAAGGATGTTAGATTGACTAGACTCCTAGGAAGCTGTAAACTCATCTCAGTGACTCAGAAAGTCAAGTGGTCTGGTATAAATAGGAAGGGTGATTTTGTTAAAAGTGCTGATTTACTAAATTTGAGCCATCTGAGAAAGACTACAAAAGGTCAAACTTATTCATAGACTCATCATTAATGAAAAGTTAATGCGGACATGAACAGTCATTTAAGGCCACTGCAAAATAGTAACACAAATACCTCCGATGACTAGTAGGGCAAAATTTTCAAAATGTTGCAAGCTGTCTACATGCTTGAAGTAGCAATTTACATGCATAATTAGGTGCAATCAACAGTTCTGAAATGTAATATATTTTGTGAGCCTGTATTTACTTATGACAGATGCTAAAAAAAAATCTGTGTGCCCCAAAAAATAGAGGGGCAAAGAGAAAGAGAAATATCTTTATTTAATAATAGGAATCTTTAAAAACACATGACTAAATTTAGAACAAATTTGTTTTGAAGCATTTTATTTTTCTTTTGATTTAATCTTCATCTAAGCTTTGAAAGAAGTTCACAAACACATTTTGGAAGTAACAAGCATGGAAGAATAATAACCTACCAGCCAGCTATTCCAGCTCCTGTCTGAACTGACATGTGATTTTTATTTCTATATTGTAGAAAAAAATCTGTCAAATTCAAAACTTCATTGCACATACACCACAGCTTTTTTCCCTGTCTTCAGAAGAGGCTTTATTCTCTGACAATGCCAAATTCTTTTAGAAAATGTGAAGATTAATTAAGCTAGTAGTTTCCTTTTCCTAAATCAAGGTCTTCTGATAAGAGATAAAGGTGAATTTTTATCATTTTACCATTCTAACAGTGAATGTTTGTTGGGTTCTTGCTAGATACTATGTGATTTCCTAAGCACACTACACAGATGATCTAATTGGCCATAATAAAAATCCCATAAGAATTGTTTGTTTCTTACTGTGTGCTGGAGAGGGAAGGGAGAGTAAGTAACATTTATTCATTTATTCTCTTGACTGGTACATTACTACATAAGGGGTCATAATGTCTTTTAAAAGTATAATGAAGCCTCGTCTAGCGGTTGATGCCGGTTATCCCAGAACTTTGGGAAGGTGAGGTAGGAGGACAAGCTTTGAGTCCAGCCCCTGCAACTTAGTGATAGAGACCCTGATATATGACACAGACCCTGGGGTCTATGTAGCTGACCCCTGGGGTCTATGTAGCTGACCCCAGTATATGTAGCTGAGTGAGAAGGTCCCAGGATCTATGCCCAGTATCACCAGACAAACAAACCTCATTTTATTTTTAAAAAAATCTCAATTTGAAATCCAGTTTAAAGAAATATTGAAGAAGAAGGGACTGGGTAAGTCAGTCCCCAAACTTTTTCTTTCCAAAAGCACGTTCGTGTTGCATTATCCTAATTGCTGTCTGCACTGATTAAAGTGGCAATTAATTTCTGTCACACTTACACGCAGAGTCAGAGATTAAGAGACTGCAGTGAAGGATGCACACTAATGATGTGCTCTTATGCACCTACCGGAATAGCGTGCAAGTTGTGTCTAAGTTAATGCAAACCAGACATGAGATGAACAATGCAATTTGCCAGTTTCATTAGGCAAGTGTTATCTGCTTTCCATTATATGTTGGGAGAAAAAGCTACCCTCTGGTAGGAAATGTATGAATAGTTCATTCATCTGCGGATCCATTTGGGGGCATGATGGAACCTAAAGCCAGAACAATAGGCTTATTTAATATTAAACAGGTTCTTAATAACCCGCTATTTCCCTCCATAGGTCCTTCTAAGACTTGTCGAGTTCACTTAGCTGTCTGCTAAAGTTGTAAGCTACTCCCTAGGACCAAGGGGTGCTGGACTTAGAAGTCACTCTGATCACCTGACTGACCGTGAGTCCCACTGTAAGGCTTTCCTAGTCTCCCCTTGCCATCCTTCCTATCTACATTTATGGACGCATTTCGCTCCCTGCCTCGACTCTGGTCCCCCCAGAGCTTCCTAGAGTCTTGCCCTGCCAGCACAGAACTCGCCACTTGGGAGAGGGCGCCCACCCTGGGGCGCGTTGCGTGAAAGCCTGGCAGCTACACCTCGCTTCTTCCTCCTCCTGCCCTCAGCCGCGGACCTTCACGCCACATCCCCGCGCACCCGGCGACTCGGGTCGTCCCTGGCCTCGCGGGCCCCACCCCTCCCCAGGTCTACCCCGCGATCGGGCGGGAGACAAGGTTAGGTCGATTCCTGCCCGGAATTCGCCGTCCGCTTCTCCCCGCCCCTGGTGCCTGGAGCGGGGCTGCGCGGTGCCCGCGGACTTCGGAGCGGGGCCGGGACTCCCTCGCCACGCTCG